TGAGCCCATGGGATCTGAGCACACTGCAGATTTTTACAGAAGTATTTTTTCTTTAAATCTTTCATACAGAAGGAGAGTAGAAGAAACCTTCTTTCATTTTCTTGCCACACACATAAATTATACCTTAGTGTAGTGCTAGTTCTGCCAGCTCAATAAACCTCAAGGGAATCTGCAAAGTCTGTATTTCTAAACTTGCTCATCATTAAAATGATGGTCTTGAATGTAATAACTACCTTATAAATTTATTATAAGGGCTAACAGAAAAATGTCTGTAATAATATGTTCAGCTTATCTATAACATACTAACCATGCAATAAATGTTAGCCTGTATTAGACTATTTCTACAAAACAGTTCAAAGCTTGATTGAAAAATGGTAGCAAATTTTGTTCTGTTTTTCTTTGTGGAAATGTAAATTGATAGACATATAGCCTGGAACGGTATTTCTCAAAAACTTAATTGAGCTAATCTTTTGTTTGCTTTTGTTAATCTTTTTGCTATATTTTTCTTTTATTAATTCATTTATTTTTAAATTGACAAAATTATGTTCGCTTATTATTGTACAATTTTTTGGAATATATATATATATACATATTGTAAATTATAAAGTCTAACTAATAATGTATCAACTTATTTATCATTTTTGTGGTTCAAATAGCTAATAACAACCCTCGACATCTTTTGTTAATATAATACATCATCAATAATTATAAATTTGTAACTTTACTATGAAGCTTATTCCAAGCAAATGGGGAGAAAATGCCTGCCTCTTGTTTCAAAGGCCTATGCAAAGTTATGTTTTTCTTTTGTAAATGGGACACCTTTGTGAATATATTTAGCAAAATTTGGGGTAATTTTTCACTTATGAAAAGATAAGAAATTTAAGGAAAAGATTAATCAGCTCAATCAAAGTAATAATGTAATTTAGACTCAGCCCATACTTTCCTCAACATGCTTAACTCTGTTGTTAAAATATTACTTGTTCTCAAAGTTTTTCCTGAAATTATCTGATCTTTATTCAATATTTTCAGGACAATTTTTATTCTAAACTTCTTTTATAATACTCACAACAGCCTGTCTTATAATATGCACAGCTATTTGATTCATTCCTCCCTAAAATAATCATATTCATATTTATATCCATAATGCTAACAAAACAGAAATTATTAAATCATAAAATATTATAATTATTGGATAATCTGCTCCAGTCTTTAGAAGCTTAGTAAATACTTGAGGGTGATGTTTTTGTAAAATATACATCCTCAAAAACAACAAGTATTAATTGTGAGAAACATAATGTATGTGACCATGATCTTTGAAGGTTTTTTCTCATCATCGTTTCCCTAAAACAGAAACTGTGGGAAACCTCCTAACTTCCCAACAGGTGTAGCTAACCTATATTTCTATCTATAGACAACCAGATACCAAAGACTGTGGTATTTAAGATTTAACAATACTTGACTGTCTCCAGTATGGATCCTCCCTCCATTGAAAACCAACTTGCTTTTAAGGTAGGGAGACTGGAAAAAAGAAAGAGTTCTGTTTTGTTGTTTGTTTGTTTCCATTGTATTGTTTGTTTATTTGTTTATTTTGAGATGTGGTTTTGTTATACCATTCAGACTTGAGCTCACTTTGTAGCCCAGGCTGCTCTCAAACTCACAGCAGTCCTCTTGCCTCAGCCTCCCAAGTGCTAGGATTACAGGAGTATGCCATCACTCCTGACTAGGAAGGTATCTGTAACATATTTCCTTCATGGAAGGTACAGAAAGCATAAAAGTAAAATAAGAAAAGAGGGGTGGTATTAATAAAGCATTCCCTGTTCACTGAACTAAGCTCCTTACTATATGTGTTCTCCTCAGTCTTTACAATAGCCTTGGAAAGTAGCAATTACTCTTTTCACCATACAAATGAGAAAAGGGGCCTAATGGAATTTAAGTCCCTATCATTAGAATATGCCGGATTAAAACCTATATCTAAGTTCAAACTCATTTTATTTCTGTATTACCCAACTGTATATGTGCTTTTCAGGGTAAATGTCAGATCATGCCGGTAGAAGTTAATTAGTAGTGCTGAGCATTAGTAACTATGAAATTAAAATTAAAATAGCATATTGGAAATATATCTACCAATGTACTAGGCAATGAAAGACCTATTGTTGGACTTTGGGAAATAAACAGAGAAATATAATGGAGGAAGAAGGAGAATTGTCCCTGTAACATATCTATAGAGATCAAAATTCCATCAGAAAATACACAATAGTATTCTAGAAGGAAAAAGGGCTGGAGTGCTTACCAGAACTATTAAAATATCTAGATTAAAGTCAGAAGCACTAGTTAGTCCACATTCTTGCATTTTCTGAGTCATAATTTAACCTGCTTTTTCTATAACAAATGGAAACTTAGAATTAAGTAAAGTGAATATTTTGTACAAAGTATGTGCAAAAGAAATGTCATCTGTGTGCTCCCATAATCCCACATATGTTTATCATTTTAACCATCAGATTGTTCATGATAACCTCTTCTTATTAATGCAAGTCATGATGAAAATGTATGATGAATGTTAAAATTTTAAGAATTATTACAATAAAAGATACATTACATTAATCCCCCCAAAACACTCCCTCTTGCTTCCAACATGACTATCCCAGCATTATTGCCTTTTTCTGATGTAGCTGTGGAAACCCTCAGGTGTGAGTGTCTTTTATGATTCCCAATAAACAGTACAGTGCATGCTGCTGCTGTGTGCCATTCAATGCAAAGGCAGACCTGTGAAAACATTATGGTATATCCTCAGGTACCTCCATCACCAGAGCAGTTCTATGTAACTTCTGGCTACTGCCCAAAGTCAAAATGCTGATGAAGATAAATGTTTTACAACTGACTGAGAACACTAAGTAATGTATAGCAACACAACTAAAGACTGTCACAAATGAAGACTTACAGAACTACTTCAGAAAATACCAAGAGTGATGGGATAAATGTGTTAAAGCGAGGGCAAATATTTTAAGTATGATTCATGACAATGTGTCTTTTTACTGTGAAAAAAAATTATAAACATTCAGTGTGTTTTTCAATCACATCTCCTTTACCTCACCATGAGCAACTTGTTTCTTGGATGAAGGCTTGTTTATATGTATATTGATTGTTGCTATGTCCCTGGTACTGCTCACATAATTGTAATGTACTTCTTAAAATTTCTTATATAATATCTTGTACTACCAAGTTAGTGACTCAGTGATAAAGATATATTGCCAAAAGTTTTATTGTTAATATTAGTTACAATAATATCTTTTTAATTTTATGCTTTTAAATGAGATAAATGCAAGATTATCCTTACTTCTTTCATTCACTTACATTCTACTATAGTATATAGAGAAGCAAAAGCACCAGAAGCCATGAATTGTACTATGTACTTGGAATTTCAGTGACTATGTTCTTCTCATTGTCATTTCCCTAATTTAAACTGAGATTTCTCTTTCAGGTTTGAATGGGTGAATAATGTGTGACATAAATCCTTAACAGTGAGTAAATTCTCATATCCAGGATCAGAAAACACTGACAATTTCTTACATCGGGAATCCTAAGAATGCTGTGGTGACATGAATGTAATAGATAACATGACAAATCCTTTTTTTTTTTAAACTGATCTAACATTTAGCTGTTGAGAAGCTATTAGACATTTACTGTGGCTCTAGAAGCTGAAGAGCATGAATATGGAAAAACATAAAATTCACATAATTCCCCGAATTTATAAAATTAAATGCAGAAGGTAGATGTTAAGACAATTCAATCAACATATCAAAGGTAAATAAAAGTCACATCAAACCACCATTTTATGTCTCACATGAATTCGAAGGAAGAAACAGCTTCAGTTATTAGGAAGTATTAGAGAAATTTCCAAAAGTGTGGGTGTAACAGAAGCTCAGAATAACTATAAAATACTATTATTGCAAGTGAAATAAGTAATGACTTACATGAAAAAAACAATAGAAAAAAAAGAACAAAATTTCTTTTCCCAATAATAATGCATTCTATAAAGGTCCATAGAGAGGCATTAAAAATATGTTTCATTTTTCAAATGAAAGATGTTGAAAATCAGAAAGAGTTTGAAGTTTATGCAGTAACCATTAGTAAAATTTTGAGAAGAGTAATAAAACACAATTTATATATCAAAAGAATAAGGAATTGAGAGAGATACATTGAAGTTATGTGAAAATACCAGTAGAAAAAGTAGCTGTTCCAGTAGAAGTTTGGGAATCAGTGGAATGGATCAGAGTCCTCAAGAAAGCCTGAAGTTCTTCCTGGTAGGAGAGGGTAGGTGATGAGGAGTGTAGAGAATATTGCATGTTGGCACAGATGAGTAAAAAAGCAGACAAATAGAACCTCTGCCACCTTTACAGCAGAATAAACATACAGAAGTGACAAATTATTGAAAACATGAGAGGGTAGAACTAAAGAATCTCTCCAGAAAGTAAAGCAAACAGAATAAGAAAGAGGGTAGCTTTAGATTATGGAAATACTAAAATTAAGAGTAGAAAATTCAGTGTAAAAAGGAAAACAACAGCTATTGAAGGGTAAGTGGATTATAACTAAGTATTGTAATTTTGGATGGTTTTATCTCACATCTGTAGGACAGATTTTATTAAGAAGTTGTGGATGCAAGAAAACCAAATGGACAAGTGCTATATTTATGGACAGAAGTTAAAATGCACACAGCACTCTCACTGTTGGAATGCAGACAACAGTATGATTGAATATAAGCTGCCAGGAATATTTTACTGTGTTTAGAATTAATGTAGAGGTAAAAAGTCTTACGAACATTTGCTTCATTTTAGCTACTTCATATATTATAAAAAGAGAGAGAGAAAAAAGTAATATTGAATTAGAACCCAAAATCTGAGAATGTATGCTTTGTGATGATCAGTTTCTTGTCTACTTTTCAGTGATTTCTTTCGGTACTGTCTCCTCTTTCTTCTGGATTGCTGTCTGATGATGTGTCCTCTATGGAGTGGGTCAATGAGACCATGGTGAGAGAATTTGTTTTTCTTGGTTTCTCCTCTCTGGCCAGGCTGCAGGAGCAGGAGCTCCTCTTTGTTATCTTCCTGCTCCTTTACCTGTTCACTCTGGGCACCAATGCCATCATCATTTCCACCATTGTGCTGGACAGAGCCCTTCACACCCCCATGTACTTCTTCCTGTCCATCCTCTCCTGCTCTGAAACTTGTTACACCTTCGTCATTATACCCAAGATGCTAGTGGACCTGCTTGCTCGGAGGAAGACCATTTCCTTCCTGGGCTGTGCCATCCAGATGTTCACCTTCATCTTTCTCGGCTGCTCTCACTCCTTGCTGCTGGCAGCCATGGGTTATGATCGCTATGTGGCCATCTGCAACCCTCTTCGCTACACGGTGCTAATGGGACACAGGATATGTGTGGGATTAGTGGCTGCTGCCTGTGCCTGTGGCTTCACTGTGGCACAGATCATCACATCTTTGGTGTTTCACTTGCCTTTCCACTCCTCCAACCAGCTCCATCACTTCTTTTGTGACATCTTCCCTGTTCTCAAGCTGGCATCTCAACAATCTTATTTTAGTCAGATTGTCATCTTCATTCTCTGTGCATTGATCCTGGTTATCCCCCTGCTTTTAATCTTGGTATCCTATATTCACATCATCTCTGCCATACTCCAATTTCCATCCACACTGGGCAGGTACAAAGCTTTCTCCACTTGTGCTTCGCATCTCATTGTTGTCATTGTCCACTATGGCTGTGCCTCTTTTATATACTTAAGACCTAAATCCAACTATTCCTCAAGCCAGGATGTTCTGATATCAGTATCCTACACTATCCTAACTCCATTGTTCAACCCAATGATTTACAGCTTAAGAAATAAAGAATTCAAATCAGCTCTTTGTAGAGTTATGGAAAGGACAATTCCTCTGCCACAACCTTAATTTGCATCCTGCTCTTTTCAAACTGTGAAGCACAGTATAACTAGGGAAAAACTCCTGAAAATGATCAGCAACTGAGCATGATGTTCAGGGACAGTAACTTTTTTATGCCTCATCTCCAAATACAAATTTAAGAAAAACATAACATCTTGAGTAATAAAATGAATTTTTATGGTTGAAAATTTTATGATTTAGTGAAAAATATAAATGACGAATGATAAGAGTTTCAAAAATGGCAGCTTGGTAGGGGATTGGGTGGAGAGTCTCTCCAGAGAAATCATATTAGATGCGAGAATATGACAACATGGAGAAGGCCAGATGAATGGATAACAATTCTTTTTAACCAAGACAGCATGGCTGGAGAATGTAAGCTCGTGCTGAGACTGTGATGGCTGATAACATGAGTCTGCAAATCCCGCACCTTTAATGCGGCAAACTGACCAGTGGACCCAAGAGGAAAAGCTGTATTGGCTTTTGGTGACTGCTGGAAATTGAGACCTGGGACCCCATGAAGCAGCCAGGGCTGCCTGGCTGCACCAGAAGAGATTGTGAGAAGCTCCGGAGTTCTGAAGCTGGGCACCGTGCAGTTTTCTGACCATTCTGTGCTGTGTTGGGAACACAGTGAAGGCAAGCGGCATAGTGTGCAGTAGACTCAAGAGGAAGACCTGCACTGAGTCCTGGTGAGTACTGGAGACTGGGTCCCAAGGCTGCTGTCCCTGGCTGGAAGACATCTCAAAATTGGGCAGAGCCTGCCACCACAGCGACATCAATAACATGGAGAGTCTGGTGGAAGACATCTTGAAGTTGGGCAGAGCGCACAGCTCAGTGACATCAGACAGTCACTCCTGGTGTAGAGAGGTCTGGTGGAGAACATCTTGAAAGTGGTCAGAGCCCGGTGCTGTATTGGCATGAGCAACATAGAGAGAACTAATGGAAGACATCTTGGAATTGGGCAGACCCATAGCCACGGGGGCATTACATAGTCGCTCCTGGCACAGAGAAGTCTGAAAGAGGACAGCTGTGTTTTGGGCAGAGCCCTGTGCCACAGTGACATTAGCCAGCTGTTTCTGGCACAGAGAGAACTGGCAGGACCTGCTGGGGCTGAACCAAGCCTCTGGTTGAGACCCAATAAGCAGATACAAAATAGTCACGATTCTGTGACACCCACAAAGTACAGCCTAATTTGCAGATTGACTGGCACAGAGGCTGGAGGCTAGCCTACACCCTCCCTGTATTCCTGCCTACCCCAGATAACAGCAAATTGGGGAGGACAGCAAAAACTCAAGTCAACACACTTCTGAAAGGCCCTAGCAATACGGAGGGAGCCACAGACCCCAGAATACTCCAGTCTGAAAGAAACCAGAAACATGACAAGAGATAGAAATAAAAGAAAAAAAAATTCCAGCTGCCCAACATGAGAAAATAAGTCCAGGAGAAGTAAACACTGAAGAGAACAAGCACAATAACCACCCAATACTGGACACAGCATCAGCCAAAAAAAAAAAAAAAAAAAAATGCCTCCATGACCTCATAGATGAATTTAAAGCGGTACAGCTGATCCAAGTGAAGCAAGATATAAAGAGATTAATTAAAGAAATGACAAGCCCCTCCCAAGAGAACACAGATGGAAGAACTGAGGAAATCAGAAAAGAAAGAGATACTTCTGAAGAAGAGTTTAAACATAACTTAGAATACATGAAACAGATCCAAAGAGATTACCAGGAAACTAAAAACTCTATTGAACACTGGCAAAATACCTTGACAGAAACTAAAGTCAGTCTTTTAAAACTTGAAGAGAGATTTAACATATATGATTGTGAAAGAAAAGACCTCTTAAAAATAACAAGGAACCGGAAAGAAACAATTCAAAGATGACAAAAGGATACATAATTAGCATAACTTTGTCATGCTAGAAGATGACAAAAGGATACATAACTTAAGAATAAAGAATGTGAGTGAGGAAGCAGGAGCAACCAAAAATGAAATACAAAGAATATTCACAGATATAGTAAAGCAAAATTTCCCATGTATAGCAAAAAGAAATGATATCCAGATAAAAGAGGCATACAGAACACCAGCTACCTACAACCAAAACAGATCTACACCCAGACATATAATTATCAAGATTCCAGAAATCCACCAAAAGAACAGAATATTAAAAGCAGCCAGAGAAAAAAAGCAGATAACCTACAATGGGAAAATTATCAAAATAACAACAGACTTATCAACACAAACTCTTAAATCAAGAAGGAAATGGGTAGAAATATTCTTAGTCCTGAAAGAAAATAACATGCAACCAAGACTCACATACCTATCAAAACTCTCTCTCAAAATTAATGGAGAAATAAGATGCTTCCAAGACAAGGAGGAACTGTGGGAGTTCATGGCCACCAACCCAACCCTACAGAGAGTGCTGTAGGACAGTGCAGAGAAAGAGAAGAAGGGATACCAGCATTCCAGCAACAGTGGCAGAGATGCCTCAATGAACAGGGCTGACAGTGGAAAGAGTGAGTAAGGTGGACAAATTATAGCAGTAAAATGGAGTAGCAGAGGTGAGGCAGAGATGGTAGGCTATAGGCCTTAGTATAGATAGCTTTGAAACACTACAAAAAAAGGCAGAGGTCATTGTTAATAGTGTATCAGGATTTAAAAGTCACAGTGGTCGTATTTCCCTGTTTAATTTGAATTTAATTTGTTCTGGTCTGTCCACTCATATTGGATTTGAGGTCACAGACATCTGACGCAAACATAGCAGGTTATACCATGGTAACTATTCTTAATTTCCTATAAACTTGAGCTGAAGTCCTGTACTACTTATATTGTCTTACTATGACCAATCTTATTTGAATCTGATTCATAAGACCACGGTTTTGCCTTGGCTGATTTTACTTGAATTTCATATGCTTGATAGTATCAACCCTAAAAGTAGAGGCAACTACTCTGAAGATGACACGATGTAAAAGATATCCATACCAGTATTAATTATTAAAAGCTCTCATGTCCTACAATGTTTTCAAAGTTTTGTTATTATAAAAATAGCTAAGTAATACTATGTTCAACTATAGTAAGCCCAATGATGTGGACAAGACTATGGAAAATAACAAGAGAAAGCATAGTAACTATGGTAGATCACCTAATATTGTGGTCTTATGTGTTTTTTTCATTGCTTGTTTTTCTAGGAATTTGTTTTGCTATCTAGTTATGATTTGTTTTCCCCTATAATTCAGAGAGGATAGATATACATGTAAAAATTCACGCATGAGAAGATTCTTTTAAAAAAACTATTTATGGGAACAGATTATATAATGCAATATGTAATGAACAGATACTCTGAAGAAGAAGAGACACTAAGAAACCCAATGCTAATTTTGTAGCATTATGATATAAAATCTAGCAATACTATTATTCACTGATCAGAGTGATATTAGTCTAGTCTCTTAAGCTCAGTATCAGCATATGTAAAGATAAGAGAATGAAGAGAATGAGACTACTACGAAGAGAATGAGAAATGCGTTGGTAGTTATTATTGTCTTCCCCAATGTCAGATCTTGAAGACCTAAAAAGCCTTCATCATCCTGTAATGATTTGATAAGTTCTATAATATGCAGTATGTATGTAATGTGTGTGAAGATGGAGACAACTATTTGGAAGAAACTAGAAACAATTAGATAGACAGTGAATATCTCCAGTGGACTTGCTTTGAAATCTGTATTTCTTTAAAGTGTTTTTTTTTTTAACTGTTTTGTTCTGTTTTGATATGTTTAATCTTACCCTCTTTAAGATATAAAACAAGTGTGTAGGACTGATAACCATATTACTAAGTTTTTGTTAAATCATTGAGCAGAACTGTTGGCAGTGTCACTATTTGAATGTCATTTTACATACTTTTATATTATAATCTGAACAGCTATTTCTAAGATGACAGTATGTAACTTATCAACTGGCGATTTCTTACCATTTATTTTTCTGTAATTCTCTATTATTTCTACCCTTTTTTATCTCCATGTATTTTTTTTGTTTCTTTCTCTTTAAATAAAAAAAAAATCCATTGATAAGTAGGGTCTTAGGCTATCCAGTCAGGAACCCTTCTGTCTCTGTTCAAAATTTTTCTTTCTCTCAATAAATATTTCTGGCTCTTAAAAAAAAAGAAAAAATATAAATGACAAATTTAGGAATGTGTATTTAGAAATACCAGGGTCTGGAAAGTAGGATCTCACTAAACTAAAAACTAAACCTATAAAATAGAGCATAAAACTAACACTGTTCTAGAGACAAAGGAATCTTCTTTCTCTAGATTGTAGTCTTTCTGCATGATCTTTAAATCTAAATCTTTCATCATAGTTAAATCACAATTTTGAATGAGATAATGTTTGTAAGGTGTGTGTTACAATTCTTAGTGCATAAAATATAACCATTAAATATCCATCTCCAGAAAAACATACAGTAGTTATCCATTTCTGTGTTTGTAATGGCTTTATAGGAGGTGAAATTTTTCTGATTTTTTATGCACTAAAGCTAAATTTTTTATGCACAAAATGAAATTTGCTCAACACACCTTGAAGATGTCCCCAACAGCATAGGTCAAACAGAGGTATAATTCACACAGGTTGAACAGGAAAGGCAAGCTACCTTTAAGTCTATTTCACTTTACACTGATTAAAGAGGTAATTGTGTGTAAAGAGCAGTGAGTCACTATTCTGCTTTTGACTCAGGAGTCTGTAAGGGACTTTGAGGCTAGAACCTGAGATAGAGGTTTCAGTTGTCTCACTTTTCTGCAGGAACAAGTGCAAATGTGTAACAGAGATACCATTTCACACTGTTTTTCTTTTGAAAATGCACATGCAAATAAAGACCTCTTGATTGATTTAATTTGTTGCATGTTGTTTTCTTTCACTTCTGCCAATCACTTCAGCAATAACTTATACTTTCCAGGAGTTGGAGCAAATGGGGAGGAAGCTGGATCCCTCATTCAGAGGCTCTGTCTCTTGTTGGATGTCAACTTT